GGGGGTCGGCAGAGTCGCACCGCTGGCAGCGGGCGGCGCGACGCCGAGTCCCGACGCGTCAAGCACGAGCGTCGACCCGCAAACCCCCTCGCCACCCTCCTCGCCTGCGGACGCCGCCCGCAGCACCGCGCGCGCAGAGAGGTCGACGAGCCACGACGGCAGCAGCGGCGCCGGCAGCGCGAGCGACACGCCCCTCGCAACAGCCGCGAGCGGGGAAGAGAGCAGAGACGGCGCCACGCCGCCGCCGCCGCCGCCGCCGCCGCCGCGTCTCAGCCACATCGCCACGGACGGAGGCGCGTACGGGTCCGAAGGGAGGTGCGCGAGACCAAAGCCTAGCCTCCGGCCACCTCGGGTGACCTCGGGGGCGGAGATCGGGTCCGAAGGGGCGCGCGTCGGGTCCAACGCCTCCGCCGCGTAATCTCGGGCAATCTCGGGCAATCTCGGGCAATCTCGGGTCCGACGCCTCTGCCGGCGGTCGAGTCGGGAGGCGCGGGCGGCGAGAGGGAGTGGAGCAGCGCGTTTGCGAGAGCGGACTTGCCTTCGCCCGACGGCCCCGCAATCCCGACCGAGCAGATCGGGCCTACACTCGACGCAACAAAAAGAAAAGCGTCGGCCCGACGCCCTCCCGCCGACCGACCGACCGACCGGCCCCGCCGCGGCACCGGGCGACGAGCGGAGCGCCGCCAGCGCGGAGGCGTCGAGGCCGACTCGGCCGCTCGCCGCGTCGCCAACCAGCAGCGGCTGCGGCGGCGGCTGCTGCGGCGGCGGCGCGAGGAGCGCGATCGCGAGCGCGGCGGCGGCGGCGAGGGCGGCGGAGGCGGCGCGTGGGCGGCGCGTGCGGCGGCCGCGCCTCGACTTTGACGAAACCTCGGGAGGGTGGGAGCGGATGTCCGGCACGCCGGCGGCGAGGCGGCCGCGGCCGGGGCCGACTTTGACACGGTACAGCTCCGCCTAGTCACTCCCTCAGAGGCAGCGGTGAGCAGCGCCGGCAGTGGAGGGGAGCGGGAAGAGAGGAGAGGGAGGAGAAGCGAGAAGGGCGACGGGAGAAGAGAGGGG